TTTTTTGTTGCATAATAATTATGTATACATATACCAGAAGGGTTTATTCATCTGAATATTGTAATTTATCGTGCATAACTACTCTGCTATTACTGTTTATTGGCACAGAAGTATATAGGTAACTACAAAAAGTGTTATGGTCTATAACTGCAGTACAATATTATTGAGTATAGTGTCTCAATTTTATTATTATTATAATTATGTTTAATATCTCTTAAAAGTTACAAGTACCTACTTATTTAAGCGAAATATTTAGCTATAATTATAATATAATTGCAATACGGCAATTTATGACGTATGAGTGTATGATTGAGTATTTATTATTCAACTATTGAGTTGTACATTCTCAATAACGGCACATTGCACAATGTGATTTTCCAAATCAAATATTTAAGTTCAACTAAAACTACATAATACCATTTATTATTTTATTGAAAAAATCGAATCACAATAAATTTAGGGCTACATTTAAAAAGACGATTTAATGTTTATTATGGACATATTATACGTGAAAAACAATATATTTATAATTTGGAGGTTATAGGCGCAAAATCACATTTATGCGTTATTACTTATTACAACAAAATAGTGTAGAATAATAAATACTCAAACATACAATATAATGCGTCGTAAATTGCCATTACTACATCAATAATATTATTTTGTTTTTCATAAATGAAATTATAATTGTACATTTATATCCGATGTCCACAGTAAACATGAAGTAGTATTTTTTAAATGCTTTTCTGCTAGGTTAGGTTCTGACAATATTATATTAATTATTGTACCTACGTTATATTTCATTATCAAATTGAATACTAATGTTTATTATTATTATTATTTATGGGGAACATAGGTATAAATAGTTTACTGGTTATTTAATATCATCGTAACTATTGCATATATCTACCTACTTAACACATTAGGTTAGATTACCGTAACCTAACCACTTATATATATTATAATGACTTTAACTTATACCATTCACATGTGTTTATAATAACAACTGATAGGTATTTAAAATGTTAAGATTTTAAATAAAATAAACTTTTAATTCCCAACTGGCAGACCAAAATTCCGATATCGTCGGATATAATAGCTACCTACAGATATTTCTTCCTAAATTATATTAAGAAAATAATGCAAAAAATGAAAAGCTAAACATAAATTTCAAAGGTGCAGAAATAAGTACAATTTGTACCAATATTAATATGTATTTCTAAGTGTTGAAAATCGTCAATAATCCATTATATATTATAATACAAATAAAAATCCGGCTTGAAGCTAATTTTCTAATAATAATTTTTTGTAAAAATAACTCTCACTAAGCCTATATCTTAGGAAATTTCTTACTAACAAGGATCAATATAATTTGCAATATAACAGGCTGTATAGGTAACACAAAAACTGACGATCACAGAAAAGATCACCCAGGTTAAATATTTGGCATTTTGGTGCTTTTGTACGATTATTTTTTTCTTATCTCGTTTTAGCATTTATGTCTTCTACTGGTAAAACCATCATTCACAAATATAATTATTTTATCTCATTAAATTTCACACAATATCTTATGAGCAATTATTACAGTTGCGATTTCATCTAAACGAAACATCGTATACCTAAATAGTAGAGTTGGTTTATAGATATCTACCAGCCATCATTACACCAAAACCATGAAATTATTTGTAGACAAGCATGTACCTAATTTATTGCTAAATAGCCGTTATATTATTATAATAGTACTATTATTATACCTACTTGTTCTTATATACACTGGGATTTCCCACATTCACCATCCGGTTTCCGTAGTGTAGTGGTTATCACGTGTGCTTCACACGCACAAGGTCCCCGGTTCGATCCCGGGCGGAAACATTTTTTTTGCATATTTTTTTAAAACATTGTTCGGGTTGTTTTTTTTATAGTTTTTATTATTTTATTATAATGCCATTCTCGTCATTCGTGTAATAAATGTTTTGTTGTTCAGATGATGTTTAAAAAAAAATTGAAAACTGAATTCTCAATGCAATAATGTAAATTAACTTATTTGTTATAGTATAATATTATAATATGTACAACTATATTTGGGTAATCAACAATTTTGTTGACACTTTAATACATCATTATAATAATTTATAATATTATGTTAAACATAGTTTAGTGTTTAGCAGATCAAATTTTAATGATTTATTACAGGTACGTTTTAATGTGTATAGTATAATTAAGTAAGTATAGGCACATGCACCTATTTATATTGATGAATGATGATTGATGAATCGTCTACTATCCAATGATTTTAAAAAACAGTAAATGAATGATGACTAAACTTAAAAGTGTATTAAAGGCGTAAAAACTGAAAAATATTTTTTTTTAGACCAGAATGATAAAACATCCCTCGAATTTGCACACTTTTAGGATGTCAATGAAAATGTTTCACGGTGAAAAGGTTCGGACTTTTTCCCGTCAACTCTACGAGAGCTAATAATATTTAAAGAGCACATTCTGCTTTATACGGTTTTTGTTAAAAATAGTGTAGAAAATTACTAAAAAGAACCTTGCCCACGTGTAAAAAGTTTCATACAACGATGAAGTCGGAACATTTATAACGGCCATGTGAATAACGGGAGAGTGAGAACTTTACGAGTTCTTATCCATCTTTTAAACCTAATTTATTATAATAATAATGTTGAGTTTTTTTTTTTTTAATAATTTGCTGTCAAAATAATATTTATTTTAAAACTATTTTTTTGTTCTTGAGTAATTTTTTTCAATTTAAAAGTGTCTAGAGATTTTTATTATCATTATTATTACTTTATTTTTTGCGCAATCATTAAAGTTCCACCCTTTACTCATCCATTTGGAAAAAAAGTTTTGCTTTTGATTTTCAGGAGCTAATTGCTATTTTTTCTTCTCCCAGTACAATTCGGACGGTATTAATTTTCTGAATAATTTGGTATTGTTGGCTCATGAACTGCTGTGTTGATTCCTATTGCGACATTTATTATTTATTATTATTATAACGTTTTTGTATATTGTTCCTTTTTAGTACGTAGAACATGGCTGCAACATTTACGTAAACTCGGCTGGCATCGCGTTAGTACAAAAACGAAATAACGCGATGAAAATAAAATTCATAATATTATTGAGCAACCCGGAAGACCATTAGATGATATTAAAATGTAAAAACTAAAAGAAAGTCACAATTCCAGTGAATTTCGCTGAAAAAAAAACATGGTTATTATACGGTCTATAGGTACTGCATACTATGTACCATGGAAAAATATTTTATTGTTTTGTTAATATTATTGTTTTTTTACATCAGCCGTACATTGTATGATTGATTGAGTTTTGAGGAGTCGAGAAGGAAAAGTTAAGACTACGTCAAATGTGTCTATAGTATTATGTGTATTGTTCATATTTTATGCGTATAAGCTGCACCTACCTACCTGCTATGGAGAATTTCTGTGTTCTTGATATTACAAAACATTTTTGACACGATAATTACATTTTATCGTGTACATTCAATAACATTAAGTACTACTAGATGACGTGCAGGCGTAACACCTAAATAATATCGGAAACTGTGTACTGTGTATCGGGGGTGTTTTTTTTTTCATTTTAATTGACGTGGTGTCGGCACTGATTAAAAATCTATATTTTACAAGTAAACATATCTTGCTCACACTGATCACACAATCATATTGCCCTGGATTTGAGCACAGATATTCAATTTTTAGAAAGCTTTCAAAAGCTGTTTTAGATTTTCTATACCGAAAATAATGAAAAACTACTTATGTACATACGTATAGGTACATTATTATAAATAAAATATAAATCAAAACGAGCCCAAAAAGACAGATAGTAATTTAGCTCAAAATTAAACTATATTTTAAGTTTGTGCGTGTGTACACCGTGTTATTTATTTAAGTAGATAATTAATAACTTATTTACATGTTTTATATCATACCGCGTGTCATCATATTATTTCACGTACCTAATATATTGTACGAATAAGTTTCGTTTTTAATTCTTTAACTTGTACATCATGCAGACATCTGTATCATGCTATTAACGATATGGTTTAATCCGAAAAGCGTAAATTGTGTGTTAATTTAATGAGGTCTGTTATTGTTGTAATTACTATATTTTGTGTAAAAACATCTGAAAGTATTTCACGGGACGGTGCTTTATATAATAACATTATATTAATTTGGTTTAATTTGATGCGAAAAACAGATAGCACTGTAAATGTATGCAAATCTTTGTAGTTAATTACATTTCAGGAGGACGCAAAAAAAAAAAATGGAGAAAATTGTAATTATTTTAAATATATAAGAAAAAGAAGAGACCGTTTCTTCGTGTCATAATAAATTAGAACGTAAAAAATGAATTGGATTGAGACCGTCAAAAAAAGGTTTCTTTACGTTTACAAATTTGTGTCTGGCATTTGCAGCTTTCCCAGGGGGCTATAGGTATAAAACACGCGCGGTGTTTACGAACGCTTTTAAGCAGTTCGAACAAATACGTAAATATATTATATACACGAAACTACTATGCGAAATTACAAACGATCTGTTTTTTTTTTTTTTTTTTATTTGATAAATAGAAAGTCGTGTATCATGTATTATATATAGGTACGTCTTCCTATTTTTGCTCTCAAGCCGCTGATTCGGAGATTTATTTCGAACGCGACTCAAACTATCTACCCCCACTCTTTTTTTTTTTTAGTTTGTTCTCCTCATCCCATCACTGTAGACTCCCCGATACGTATGGTTAACAATACTTACGTTCGTGCGATACTCAATTCAACAAAATACGTATATAGAGGGAGGCATGTATAACGTATGTTGTATGTAGACACAACTTGAGTATATATAAGCATTAAGCACACACACACACACACACACCCACACACACCCACACCCACACACACACACACACACACACACACACACACACACGCAATTGTAAATTGACGTATAAATAAGGTAGGATACACTTACGTTGTGATACCAAGTGAGCTTCGTCGAAGGCGGGTTTGCTTTCACGTGACAATCGAAGTACACGTCGTCTCCCTCTTTGATGCCGTTCGGGTCGATCGAGTTTCCAAGCCGGAGCGAAACGATCGGAGCGACTGAAACACACAACACGTCACGTGCATAAGTATCATGATAATAAGACACACACGGTTGTCCAGATTTTAAATTACATACGAATCAATCAAACTATGATATTTGAAATTCTCAGGTATTTTTAAAGACCGTGTTTTTCCTTAAAATAAGAGCCACACTTTTAGAGTGAGTTAAGGTATAAAGGTGGGTGTTTTTTTTTTTTTTAATATTGATTTATTTAATGCTATGTATAATATTATAACTTTTTAAATAGTAAAGTCAAATAATTTAAGTGATATATTAATCTACTTACATTTATATTATTGTTTAATATTAATATTTGCTTATAAAAAGGAAATAATGAAGAGGGGGGGGGAGTTTCAATGAGAGCGATCGCATACAAAACCACCACTCCCCGTTTTTTTAAATCATCAGTTAATATATTTTATTTTTATTTTTTATTGTCTCCTTTATCTCCCGATAATATTACCTATATAATGTGCCCTACCAAAAATTTTACGATGTCAAAATGATAAATATCACCAATAAAAACCAAGAAATAATAAATTAATTTCCAACGTTGATGGCACGCGCAGTAAAAATATAATAAAGTATTATCTAAGGAAAATTGTTATCATTTATAATCAGAAACGGAGAGGAAAAATAATTATTTTGCATATCATAATAGATATAATATTTGATCGTCACGAGTTGAGTGTATGCCATAAAAGCATAATTATAACATACAGTCTGATAGTATTCCAACCACTTAACTATCTAATGCATTAAAATGTGACTTTACCTGATTGGCAGGTACAACATTAAATTCATTTTATTAGAAATACTTGTTTTGTGGATATTTCCACTCAATGATACGCTGTAAATAAGAAAACCACATAGACGAGCGACAACAGTAGTTGAAGGTCAACGTGATATAATTGTTTTATAATATCTGCTATGTGATTTGATTGCTTAATATATTACACTAGACGTGCCTTAATAAAGAAACATAATTTAATGATATTTTATGAATATGCGCAAGAAGAGTAAGACTCAGATATATACTAAGTATGTATTATATTTTTATAACCTAAAAGTTAAACCTAATATTTTAATAGGACCGGCCGTGTAGTTTTATATACTTAGAAGTCCATAACTGAAGAAAAATGTTTTGCACTTTTCGTAGTACGTAAACTTTTAAATTGTATTAAATAATAATTTATTACGAATAGAAAAACGAGTGTATAGTATATTATTTATTATGAAAATGTAAACGAAGGGTATAATTTTTATATATTATACCGTCCTCTCGCTCATTAAGTATAGTTTTCAAATAAATGGAGTAGTATAAACTTAGTATACTATAATAGTATATACTTTCGACACCAAAGTTTCGATGTGTTATTTATACCTACGCTGCACATAAAAATAAAAATTGATGATATTAGTTATAAACATACGTCATTATATTACACATACTTAGTATAATAATATATTGATCGCTGAATGAATTTAAAATAGCATCGATGGAAGAGGGGTGGTACATTTACGAACAGACACAAATGTCAGAATTTGTTCGGAGTCTAAATAAATGTACCATTACTGATGGAGGAGTAAAAACTTTCCAAACGAATAACTAGATCGTAATAATATTCAATTAACATACCGCTATGCTAACATTAGTATTGTTAAAATTAAAAGACGCAACGAAATCGTCCTGCAATAATTGAATTCATTTTAAAATTATTATTTTAGGTGCTTTTATAATTTCTATTGTTTGTTTACCACGGGGGCAAACTTTATATAATAATATTATTTATAATTATGTAATTCTGTAGGTATATAATTTGATTCAAATGAATAATGCTTACACCGCGATGTCGTATATTTTATTGTTACAATATTTAATTAAACGTTTTATAAGTATACCCAGTTATCTTAGTCTTCCTAGCATCGTCCCTCTTTTTTGGAATCTGAGGGTATCGTGAAATATCTAGTCACCAACCTATGTTGTTTTTATATTGGTTTAAACGATTTAAAAACTCGGTATTCACATTTTAACAGTATAATATTATAAACAGTTAAACACATCTTAGACCAAACGCAGTAATTTATTGTTTATATAACTCATTCAAAATTTCATTTAGTTTTTCAGAAATCCGAAGAACAACATCGTGTAATTATGTAATCTTGTTTTACGAATATCATAGATTTGAAACACGCTCATCGCAACAATCGTCATGGCCCCATATATAGGAGATAGTTTATGCAATTAATGAACATTGTGGTATTGCGGTTATACCTATGCCTGCAGTAAGAAAACATACTCTTTAAGAGAGCGCATATTACTATATTGTCATAGATATGGAATTAAAATGCAATTTTGTTACAAACATCAATTTTTAAATGTCATACGTTCGATACACGACCACAGTTTTGAAATAAAACTCGTAGCCAGTGCATAATTTATGGCCGTCAACAAATTCACGGTGTGCACCACAATTCATAATATACCCGTAATACGTGTATTGAAGGCTCGAGCGGCGGTAATGTGCGAGACGAAAATCTCGTCATTAAAAAAGTATCGACGGCGTGTCTATATATAAGTCCTGCGCATAATATATAAGCACAACCGTCTATATATCTGCGTGTATATGCAAACGAGTGCTCGCAAACAGCGTGTGTTATATTTTACGCCTGTGCGGAGAATCTTCGGCAAAAGGATTGATGAACGTTTTTATCGCGTTATTTGTCTGTGTGAGCTTAAAGTTTCTTATTTTTCCCCTTCGCGCGTAATATCTCCATCGTGTCTCCCCGAGTTGTTTATCACCACCCTCCGAATAAACGACGGCCACGCGTGCGTCTTATTTTCGGTAAGCTCAATATCGTAATGACTATTATATAGGTACAATGATATCACGGCAAACACCGCACCCCGGTGAACGATGATGTTCGATCGGCGTTTGCGTAGAATTTGACGATGCAGTGGTTGTGTCTCACACGACCGATCGTCTGAAGTGCAACATAAGAATATAATATACCTGCCTATAGGTGCCTGTTATATCCATAATATTTTTATCGTAACGCTGTAAAATGCACAGCGGTGTATCGTGATTAGTAAAAGTAGTAACTGCTCGAGGCAGAATAATGTTTACCAATCCAAGAGATTTTATATTAAAATAGTATGTATATTATCGCATGGATACGTATTGATTCACGATAAATTCCTATTCTGTTTTATACCTATATACTACGTACGCAAATGCACATAATGATGACCGCAGTTGAATGATATGTGAGTAATGATATATGATATACGGTTAATGAAATTAAACTATCGTAATTAAAAAAGCATTTACTACCTACTAACTGTAATCGAAGACTACTGAAATGCTCGCAAAGATTTTCCCGAGCTTCGATACGATCGCCTACCACCACAAACTTAAACAAAATTATTTCCACCAAATCTTATAATTGCATGTCTTTGCGGATACTTTAATAATTCAAAATTATGTTTGAAAATAATTAAGACGCAGGAAGTGCTTTGTGAGCCACGGAGTAGGTGTCTATAGTTTTAATTTTAATATGAAACAGTAATGATAATTTAGTTGATAATCGACAGAAAATGATCGCAAACCGTGTTCAAGGATTATTCATAAAACAGATTGTTTATTTTTAAAACTTTATAGCACTACATTATACACCTATACGATAATCGTTCGATCATAATATTATACATATAGGTCGCATAAAATACGTAATACCTCGTACTTACTTAAAATACGTATAGGCATTGCTATTTTCTGCTGCGGAGTATTAACCTGCAAAGTTTAGCGCCGGATCGACTCGGAGAGGGCATGAATATATATGGAACATAAAGGTCGTCGATACTACAACACTACAACAACTTACTTTATTATACAGTATACTGTTCCATGCACATTATAATATAAGCACTGATCGCGTTATTCCATCAATCTCCCGGGTGCAGTGTATATTGTGTATAATATCGTACATTATATAAATTGTGTGCGCGTTTTTCACGAAGCGCTTTACGATATGGGTAATAATAATAATATATTACTACCGTCGGCAGATGTGACAGTTTTGAGTGAAAACGTCGAACGCATTATTATTATATAGGCACATATCATAGGTAGGTGTATGAGTGTAAATTTTGCTTTGAGCAAAATGGAGAAAAAAAATTGAGAACAGACGAGAGAAAAAACTTCATCGACATCATAATGCTTCGCGCTCGGGTGTACGCGACGCACTTATAACCCGTTCGACGTGATAGGTGCCCGTGTGCATAAATAATATTACATATATACATACACAATATATACATATACATTTACACTCGGAAGAAGTACGCGTGATGTACATAATATAATATGCAGTATGCACATACTTGACGACCGACTCACAACACCGGTGAGTGAATATTATTATTATTATTATTATTATTAAAAATAATTTTTCACGGAGGATCGAGCGAACATCGCGCACGACAGGAAAACGTCTCGAACGAGACATATTAATATACTATAGTCATTGATTTTTTTTAAACCGATTGTGGCTATATAACACTCGAACAGGATGTGGTCGCAGTATATATAGGTATCAATAATAAAACATCCTTAAACAGAATATCATGCCACGTCTTATTATCAACTACCGACGGGCGACGTTTACAAGCAAAGCAGAACGCTCAATACGAATTTCCATTATCCTGCTGCTTACCAGTTACCGCTGAGGAGTGTATATGAACCAACAACGACAGCAGTCAACGTCGTTTTTTTCCATGTTAATGCGTATTAGGTTTTCAAATTAATTATCTTCTAGGCACCATATCTGCAGTCTATGGGTATTTATCTTAGTAAAAACAAAACTCGTAGGTGTACCTACACATTTGATTTATAGTATTACATATCGTTTAATAATAATTATATTATCGCGGTGCATGTTTGAAAATTATTATTTATGATTTTTAAATTTTAGAATAACGATATTATTGTACGGT